ATGCATCCCACAACTTTGATATCCATCTCGATATTGCTTGGATCTGCATGCGATTTGAAATTGATTACGTTCCTTGCTTGTACATGGATGCTGGCCTGATTTGAAGCGAAGAGAGAGAGAGAGAGAGAGAGAGAAGAGAATAGAGAAAGGGGAGGAAGAGGAGAGAGACACAGAGAAAGAAAGTGAGAGAGAGAGAGAGAGATAGAGAGGAAAGTAATTGCGTACACTTGCAACCCGCACTTGAATGTACTGCAGCGACATCGCGTAGCCGCCGCGTTCCCTGTCCCCCCCCCCCACACACACCACATACATAAACACCCCCTGTATAAACGTTCCCTGTCCTCCCCCCCACAGACAATACATAAACACAACGCACGCACGCACAAGTGCACGCACGCACGTACGCCCCACGCACGCCTGTACACACACGTACGCACGCAAACACGACACACACACACACACCACACACACACACACACCACACACACGCAGCCACAATACAATATAGCACGGCACGTCCGGTATAAACGTGGCACATAGGCATTATCTATCTATCTATCTATCTATCTATCGCTCTCTCTGTCTTTCCCCTTCTTCTTCTCTCTCTCGTCTCGTCACTCTCTCTCCCCCATTCTTTCTATTTCGCTCTCTCGATCGCTCTTTAGCTTTTTCGCGCGCGCGTTCTCTCTCTCTCTCGCTCTCGGTTCTCTCGTTCCCTCCCTATCATCTTACACACCACGACGCGCTAACGCGCATAACATACACGCACGCCGCACGCACGCACGCACGCACGCACACGCACGCACGCACGCACCGCACCCCATATATTATATATATATATTTATATATATATACTATATAGAGGAGAGAGAAGAGAGAGAGAGAGAGAGAAAGACCAAGGTCTGAGAAAGAGAGAGAGAGCTAGAGAGCAGAGAGCTTAGAGCTGGAGTAGAGCAGTAGAGAGATAGTAGGAGATAGATAGAGACCTAGCTAGAGAGCGAGAGAGCTAGATAGATGAAGATAGATGATAGCATTTGAGAGTATGATAGATGGATAGATGGATAGATGGATAGATGGATAGATGGATAGATGGAAGATGGATAGATGGATAGATGGATAGATGGATAGATGGATAGATGTAAAACTCGAAAGATACGCGAGCACGGACTCACGTGACGAGAATGAACTTACGGAAATGGTTTGTCAGGCAAACATTTCACGATCGTACATGAAATCTGCCGTCTAGCTTACACCGTCTTCATCGACGCCCAATAGCAGTCAGTGATAAGCAAGACGCAGTAAAACTACTGGACTATTTACCGCGATAAAATACAATGTCATACGTAATAAATTCTGAAATCGCGTTGATCCGGACGGTGAAACACACGGTAGTCATCATACGCTCGCACATACGTAGGCGCGCAAACGCTCACACAGCATACTCTCGCACATACACGGGCGCACACCACGCGCGCACCAGGCTACGCTCGCACTACACGCCGCACACACGCATACGCTCGCACATACACGCGCGCACACACGCATACGCTCGCACATACACGCTCGCACACGCACGCGCGCACACACGCATACGACCGCACCATACACGCTCGCACACGACGCGCGCACGCACGCGCGCGCAAAACGCCTCAACACACACACACACCACACACACACACCACACACATATACATCACGCACACCACACACACCCACACACAAACACACACACGCACACACACACACACACAACAACACACACACACACACACAACACACACACACACGAAGCAACAGACCCAAAAATACGCTAATTAAACGTTACGTTCATGCCCCTGGATTCAAACAACCAACCCTCAGAATTAATTTCTGATCAGTTATGTGTCGACGTGAGCTATTGTAATATGGTGCAGTTGGCAGCCACAAACACGCACGTCATCAATGTGGTGATCCGGTTGGTTAAATATGGTCAGCAACCGGAAAACCATGCAATTGAGGCGAATAGATCTTAGGTGTTCAACAAACCTATCGCAAGGCGGTGTTTTGTTTCGCCAATCTGCTGGTGCGTGTCCACGTGCGTCCACGTGCGAGTTTGGCGTGTGTGTGTGTGTTGTGTATGTGCGTGTGGTGTGTGTGTGTGTGTGTGTGTGTGCCGTGTGTATGTGTATGTGTGTGTGTGGCGCGGCGCGCGCGCGTGTGTGTGTGTGTGTGTTGTGTGTGTGTTGTGTGTGGTGTGTGTGTGTGTGTGCGCGCGTGTGTGTGGTATGTGTGTGTGTGTGTGTGCGCGCGCGTGGGTGGTTGTAGTGTGTGTGTGTGTGTGTGTGTGTTGTGTGTGTGTGTGTGTCTGTGTGTGTCTGTGCGTTAGAGAAGATCGGGCAGGCGCGTGTGTTTCGGTGTGTGTGTGTGCGCGCGCACGCGTACGAATGTGCGTGCGTGCGTGCACGCGCGCGTGTCTGTGCGTGTCCACGTGCGTCACACGCACGCGTACGTGTGTGCGTGCTCTGGCATACAGACGTGTGCGTGCTCGCGCGCGTGTGCGTGTAGTCTAGCTTCTCACCCATAGAGAACAAGAGAGCGTAGGCTACTCCGCTATCACCCCGTCAACGCCCATGTTGAATCGTAGACACGCAGCAGCTCCTGCTGAGTATGCCAAAACTCTTCAGCTGCCCAGCGACAGCAGGTTAACGAGAAAGCCCCAAGCAGACATCATCCCAGCCTCGTCCGGAACTTTCAACAGGCGATGACGTCATCGGCGCAGTTCGGGTGTTCGATCAATCTATCGCTACTTGAACGTTGAAATGAACTCAAGAAAACGTTAGAATCGCTTCCAGGTAACTTGCTGTATCCAGCCTCGTTGTCACTGCCGCAGAAACACTGGTGCACTCGTGGCTGACAACGCGACGATGTAGACTAGAGATATAGTGTGTGTCATATGCGTGTGTCTTACTGAGGCTTACGTCACACCGTGTGTATTAGTGCACTATAGTGTATCATATGTCTGTGTAGCATGCGGGGCAAGCAGCGTGCGTTGAGTGCACGATGATGCTACAGTTCACTGCCGTCTTTTTTTAACTCTGACTCTGTAACAGCGATATCGCGTTGTCTTATCTCTAGAGGCAGACGTACGAATTCTTTGCATACGAACGTGCACCGGAGCTCCCCGGAGATAAAAACTAAACGAGAGCGATATTTGCATGTGTTGCTAATTCTACCACAGGCCTTGGAGGCTCAAGTTCAAGAAGAGTAAAAGCGACGGCATGTGAAAGAGCGAAGCGGCGGCGAGCGACGGGCTGAGACGCTAGCGAAGATTTTTATCGCATGCACCTAGTACTGGCGGCGTGCTCTCTAGGAAAATTGCAGAAATTCAGCGAAATACTGCTTCCGTCGGCAACTATAGGGCATCCAGTAAACTCCGCTTGTGCGTTTTCGCTATATACACATTTCGAATAATTTTTGTATGTAAAAAGGGGAAATAATATAATATATATTACTATAGTTCGAAACTATATTTATATACAGTGATGATAGTCTCCAAGGAAAGACGACAAACGTGAAGATATTTGCAGAGGTTTCGTACTTCGACAACGATCGCTTTCTGTCTACAAGATTGTAAAATCGTCATCAATTCGTCATAAAATCGTCATAAATTTGTCATAAAATCGTCATCGTTCGATTGTCTCGTTTGTAGTAAGTCTCGTTTGTGTAGTAATTCAAGTGAAGTACTTTTAAATGGTAATTGAATAGCTACTATATGCACAAAGATTAAACTATTATTAGATTGCTAATGTAGTATTCCCATGTGTTTTTTCTACCGTGCACACGCACACGCACACGCACGCACACACGCACACGCACACGCAGCACACACAACACACACACACACAACACACACACACCACACACTCACACACACAACACACACACACACACACCACAACACACACACACACACACACACTCACACACATACACACACAAACAGAGAGAGAGAGAGAGGGGGGAGAGAGAGAGAGAGAGAGAGAGGAGAGAGAGAGAGAGAGCGTGAGTGTGCAGCGTGCGTGAGTGTCGCGATCCGAGTGTGCGACTGTGTTGTTGTACAAATAAAGACATTTATAGTTGATGTGAACATTTACCTTAAGTTGACCTCCTCAGTCTGTATCTTCAACTCTTCGTTAGGACGCACCACCCTAGTTTACCAACTGTAATACCACTACTATAATCACACGGGACATTGCCTAAATTTCAGACGCTAAACAGTGAATACTTTCTAATAAGATATAGCAAGACGCTAATGAACGAACATTGAAGACATATGGGTTTATTGTGTTCAATCGGTTTACGATTGTTTACCATATACATATAGATAGACATTACACCATCATGCCCTATACGTATAGACATTTATTGATACATTTGTTAGTATTTGTTCGAGCACATTTGTTAGTCAATTATGAATAGCTGATTTTGTTAGCTAATTAGTAACACAAATATTAATAGTGTAGTTAGTATTTATAGTACGATAATTAATAACTCATTAAACATTTGTTAGTGAACAAGAAGAACACATTTACTCGCACATTACTAATACATTTATTTCTACATTAGCATCACATTGGTCAGCATGTTAGTAACGCATGTAGAAATATGTCTCGCAATTATCAGTCCCTTGTGAATATGTCTTGTAAATATCAGCGACTTGCTTATATACACGTACTCACTGGTTTGAATAGATATGCTCGACTCGCTATAATCATTATTTGGAATTACAGCGCATGCGCTGTGGCGGGATGCGAGAAGGATTTCAGGTGCCATGCCTCTTTATCCCCAATAACGATCAACAAAACTGATAATAATTCCATTATGCCCCGTTACTTTATCTCTGAAATAAAAGTCACCAAATCACTGATGGGGGTGGCATCAGTGCTGTTTGTTTCACTGCGACATTCTACCACAACCAATCAATACCCATGATTTTACGTGATCGATCATAAGTCATGATCAATAAGTCATCAGACGTCAACGCTGAGATTTTTGCCCGATGGATTTTTCGCTCGCATCTTTAGTACGTGTGTCGTCTTGCTTTGGAAGCCGACATCGTCATTTTCGAATGTCGCAACAGTTTGCGGAGATACATCCGTCACCAGGCCGCGCCACCGTCGCACCAGAGGAATCACACTGATTAAGATTCCAGATGCTAGAAATGACGCTCCGATAACATAGATGGCGCTGTCCACCGTTCCCGTTCTATCGATTAGATATCCTGTTGTTAGTAGAATAAAAAAAACTCGTTATCTTGACGAGTAATAAATTAAACTACACACATTATGATGATATTATGTAAATGTTTTTTTACCATTAACCAAGATAAATTAACGGGAAACGAATGATAAAGGTGAAGATGAAGATGGAGACGAAGATGAAAATAATGATGAAGATGACGTTAGCTCCAAAAGCGCAACAGTGAAGCATATATATTAAATATAAGTAGAATATAAGCTCCAGTAATATATAATAGAATAGAAGCATATCACAAACCAATGTCACACCTGAAACGTACCTATCAATAGTGGGTCTACCGTCATCAACAATCCTTCAAATAACATCAATATGCCGAACCCGTTGCCGACTTGCGCAGGTCCGCAAATGTCCATCGTGATGGGAATTAGGGTGGAGAAAACTCCGGCCAACAACACACCCATGACCATCGTCCATCCGGCCAGCACCTCGTTCACTGTGAGGAAGATGCAGGCGAACATCAGACCGCCGCTCACCGCTAGCAACGACCCCGTACCTATCATCCGCACTGTTGGCGCACGGAAAGCATCGTGGTCCCAAACAAAACCCCACAGCACGCGACTGATCGTCTCTACTATGCTCATGATGCCGATCATGGTGGCGCCACTGAAGCTGCCATCGCCTACCTTGTCGGTGATCAGCGGCAGCAGGTAGTAGCTGTTGATATATGTGACGAGAAACAGCACGGAGGAGATCGCGAACAGTAAGAACGCAGCGTCCTTGAACAGGTACCAAGGAAACGTGACGACGTTGTCGTCGTTGTCGTCGGCGGGGTCAGCAAGGGTTGACATGCTGCGCACGTACACATCTAGCGAGCCGTAGACACTTTGCAACCCCACCTCATCCTCCCTCACGGAATCCAACCTGCGGCGGCTCTCCGGCGACGAGGCACGCGCGACGACGACAACTGGCCGACGACCCGCTCTGACGACGGTGTCGACAGCAGCGCCCTCACGCGGCGTCGGCAGCGGATTCGGCAGCGGTCGCATCAGCGCCGCTCCAAACACGATGTTGAAGGACAAGCCGCCGCAGATGAGGAGGGCGCCACTGATGCCGTACTCGTCGACGAGGTACTGGGTGAGGTAGGGGAAGAGCAGAGAGCCGACGCCCATACCGCTCAACACCAGAGCGGATGCGATCGATACGCGCTTCCGGAAGTAGACGCCCAGGATGGAGTAGGACGGGCTGCTGACTAATCCACAGCCCAGGCCTGCAGGAGAGCAGCGCGCATGCGCAAGAATATAACGCCATCGTCGCTAATATATCATCAGGAGCTAATAATGACAGTATTAATAATTTGTAATTAATTTGTCAGTAATAATTTGTCATTATTAGCTCCTGATATCATGGTATACGATCATAAGGTGACTGACTCTACACAATTCAAAATCGTAGAATGCTTTATACTGATAGCTTTTGCGTGCCACAATATATGTACGCTAAACCTCGCGCTATATACGGTCAGTTTCTTCGATAATATCAGGAGTAGATATTAGGGCCCCCCCCCCTATCCCCCCCTCCTATTATCTACCCCCCCCCCTTATTATCTACTCCTGATAATATCAGGAGCGAATAATAATACGAGGATAATAATATCAGGAGTGAATAATCTATTATTATTCACTCCTGATAATATGTACACGTTTTCACAAGAATATTGAGTATGTATGCGACCGTCCGCGCGACAACTACAAACGTAAATATCTAGTTATATATATATATTAATATATATATATAATATATAAATATATTAACTAACATAATATGCAAGGTGCATAATAGAGATCTCTATATGCACTCCTTGATAAATATATATTAATGACTATATATATATAATATTATATATATTAAGCAAATACACAGCACACAGCACCAGCACGAGTCTATAATATCTCACCAAAGACGCTCCGCTAATGTACAGACAAGGCGGGATCCTATAGGCGAAGTATGACGTGCTCATCCAGCCGGCCAACACTCCACCCACGACCATCACCCGCTGTGACCAAGTTGTTTGCCCAGGCGTGCTTCGAGATGCGAGCTAAAATTATCTATATCTATATAAGTATCTATATATTATATATAATAGTATGTAGTCAGATATATATAAGTATATCTCCTATCTCTCCCTCTCTCTCTATATATTATATATATATAATTATATATATATATATAAAAACTCTATATATAATCAAAAATCGATGCTGACGATCTATTCAATGGTTTTGTTGTTTTTCTCTTTCTCTTTGGAGTCCATATGCATCTGCCATCTCCACAGCGAGTTTGCGGTTGTTGTGTGCATGTGGATTGTGTGTGTGTGTGGTTGTGCGTGTGGCGTGGCGTGCTGCGTGTGCGTGTGCGTGCGTGTCGTGCGTGTACGTGCGCAGGTGGCGTGTGCGGATACGTGTACCGTGTAAATATATTATGTGTGTGGGTGTGTGTGTGTGTGTGTGTGTGTGTGTGTGTGGTGTGTGTGTGTGTGGTGTGTGTGTGTGTGTGGTGTGTGTGTGTGTGTGTGTGTGTTGTGTGAAGGTTCATGTGCCTCCGCTCGCAAACGCGTACGTGTGTGCGTGCTCGCATGCAGACGTGTGCGTGGCTCGCGCGCGTGGCGTGTAGGTCTAGCTTTCTCACCCATGGAGCACGTGAGAGCGTAAGGCTACTCCCACTATCCACCCGTCAACGCCATGTTGGAATCGAGACACGCAGCAGCTCCTGCTGCAGTATGCCAAAACTCTTCAGCTGCCCAAACGACAGGCATGTTAGCGAGGAAGCCCCAAAGCAGCACATCCATCCCAGCTCCGTCCGAACTTCAAACAGCGATACGTCATCGCGGCCGTTCGGGGTTCGAATCAATCTATCGCTACTTTGGAACGTTGAAATGAACTAAAGAAAACGTTTGAATCGCTTCCAGGTAAGCTTGCTGTATCCAGCCCTCGTTGCCACTGCCGCAGAAACACTGGTGCACTCGTGGGACTGACAACTACGGCTGTAGACCTAGAGATATATAGTGTGTCATATGCGTGTGTCTTACTTAGGCTTACGACACCGTGTGTACTTAGTGCACCTATAGTGTATCATATGTCTGTGTCATATGCCGGGGCAAGCAGCGTGCGTGAGTGCACGGATGCTACAGTTTACTGCCGCATGCGTGACTTTTTTTTAACTCTGATTCCGTAACAGCGATATCGCGTTGTTCTTATCTCTAGACGCGTAATTCTTTGCATACGAACGTGCACCGGAGCTCCCCGATAAAAAACTTAAACGAGAGCGAATCTTTGCATGTTGTTGCTGATTCTACCTGAGGCCCTTGGAGGCTCAAGTTTCAAGAAGAGTAAAAGAGCGAAGCGGCGGCGAGCGGCGGGCTGAGACGCTAGCGAAATTTTTTATCGCATGCACCTAGTGCTGGCGACGTGCTCTCTAGAAAAATTGCATAAATCTAGCGAAAAACTGCTTCCGTCGGCAACTATAGGGCATCTAGTAAACTCCGCTTGTGCGTTTTGGCTATATACCTTTCGAATAATTTCTCAGTTTCACACAGGGAAATATAGGATTTGCGCATGCACGTTCGCGCCGAAAATATAGAGCATGCGGCGCAATTATGTATTCAAATCATTCTCGGGCTATCCGACTATAGGGAAACATGGTAAAATTCGGCGACCGCCTGCGTATCTGCGAATTGCAGAGCGCCATCTTTTTCGTACGGCCGACGGCGATATGCACATAATATATACGTGTATATCCTATGCTGGACATCGGTCACCGTTGATTGCCATGCGCATCTTCTTTGGCCGTTTTTATACGTTCAAAGTGGAGCCGGGCGGGCCGACAGCACGTGTGCATGGTAAAATCAAATCTATAATATTCACTTTGCTCGCAGCTTCACGCCCTGGTTTCCCCGCTATATATGCCCATATTAATGTACAGGAAAATGGCGCTGGTGTGTCGGTCACCGTTGACTGCCAAGAGAATTTTCTTCGGCCGTTTTTATACGTTCAAAGTGGAGCCGGGCGGGCCTACAGCACGTGTGCTTCGTAAAATCCTATCTATAATATTCACTTTGCTCGCAGCATCACGCCCTGGGTTTCCCAACTATGCTAATGTACATGGAAACGACGCTCCGACGTCGGTCGCCGGCCGTTTACTGCCAAGAGAATTTTCTTTGGCCGTTCTTACACGTTCAAAGTGAAGCCGGGCGGGCCGACAGCACGTGTGCTTGGTAAAATCCAATCTATAATATTATGGTATATCTATATGGTATATATCTATATTATTATGGTATATATTATGGTATATCCGATCTATTAGGTATGCGTCATTGCTTGTATTTTACTATTACATATTACATAATACAAAGAACTTTTGGCGATTTTGTATAGGCAAATGTTTATATTTATTCATTAGATGTTTCATAATGAAGTAATGATTATAAATCTGATTACAAACTTATAACGACTAAGCTAATACGACTAACTTTAATCTCTTACAACAGATTACCTACAGTAAAACTCTACTACTATAAATAAGTGATATGTTCACGTGTATGATTACATAGCGCTATTTAAGAAACAATGTATATCAAGAGTAGATAATAGGAGATTTATCCTAGATCCTCTATTATCTAATCTTGATGTATATATATAAATATATAGATATATATATATATACATACATACATATAGGCCTAGACTATATTATTCCTAAAGCTGGTTATGCAGCACACGATCTGACGGCGTGTTCTTTATTGATATCCGGGGTTGTGTGACGCCGCCGCGAGTTTTGCCTCTCGTTTCGAGAAACGCAGGACAACGGCGACGATGACTGCCATGGACGCCATGACGACCGTTGCCATGGTGAGAAGTCCCAAGATGGCGCCCGTCTTGTGCAGGCACATCTCCGCAGGTGCCCTGCTCGCCTCGTCTGTCAACGCGGACACTGTGGGAAGCAGAGGCGATACGTTGTTTTAGAGACCGGGGGAGGGGGGGAGAATGTGCGGGAAACTGGCAATGTAGGCTCTAACTCCATCATTTAGTATCGTGTGCGCGTGCGTGTGCGTGTGCGTGTGCGTGTGCGCGTGCGCGTATGCGTGCGCGTGCGCGTGTGTGTGCCTGTGCGTGTTCGTGTGCGCGTGCGCGTGCGCGTGTGCGTGTGCGTGTGCGTGTGCGCGTGCGCGTGTGCGTGTGCGTGTGCGTGCGTGTGTGTGTGCGCGTGCGCGTGCGCGTGTGCGTGTGCGTGCGCGTGCGCGTGTGTGTGTGTGTATGTGTGTGCGTTTGTGTGTGTGTGTGTGTGTGTGTGTGTATGTGTGTGCGTGCGTGCGTGCGAGGTGTGTGTAGGTTAGGAGTAAGCTATACTCTTACGATTCATATTTTCCGGTATATTAACGGAGACGCTGTGGTGAAGTTCAATCTTCTCTATAGTGTTCGCATCGTCCACTTCTCTCTTCCTCCTCCTGCGGGCCTGGATGGCGGGTCCCGCCCAGCCAATCTCCTTAACGCAGTCGTACTATACAACACCGGGAAATAAAGGTTACCGTTTATGCATTTATTAATTTATGACTCAATTAAACTTTGACGCAATTATTAGTTTTCTTGTTCATTAAAAATATTAATTATCAAATACGAATAATACGAGATATACTCTGTTACTATATATATGTACTCTAATATTACAAGATATTATACGCCTATATAATCACGAAAAGGTTTCATTGATGCGGTATTATGATGATGATAATGATGATGATGATGATGATGATGATGATGATGATTGATGATGATGATGATGATAATGATGACTACTATTATTATTATTATTATTATTATTAACATGATATCAAAGAGATCAATGAGACTGCAGTCACATAATTTTCGCGATGATTTTTTCACAAACGCGGAAACGCGATCCACGCGATGACAACAACCAGACGATGATGATGAATGATGATGACGATGATAATGACGTCTGTAGCTGTTCTTACCGCGCCGCAGCTTCCCAAGCAGACATCGCATCGGCACTCGAAGTAAACGTTAGACACATCCGGGAACTTGAAGATCTTCATGTAGTAATACATGTAGCTGACGCGACTCTGCGGGTCCCTTCTGTTCTGCGGATGACCCACCAGCTTGGGCATCGCCGAGCACCTAGGAGAGCATAGGCGTTGTTCAAGTTAGTAGGATCACTTGCATAAGCGTCGTGACAATTTACCGACAAAGTCGATAAGGCGCGGCTAGTATACAAGTGGTAGCTACCCATCGAAATAATATACTAGTTAGGCTGCCAGGGTCTATGTCTCCATGGGTACGGTCCGGTATACCGGAACGTACCCTGGTACTATCTAATATGCCGGACCTTACCTCGCCTACTCCACTAACGATTCTAGGGAGTCGCCTACGCCTACTCCCTAACCCTAACCCTAACCCTTAGTTACCAGGGTACGTTCCGGTATACCGGACCGTACCCAGGGTACGTTCCGGCAGTACCCTGGGGGACATAGGCCCTATCAGCACTAGTTAGAGTCTCTATATATTTCTATGTAGCTACCGATCATGCCTGCGTTGCCATAATGACAGCGTTCTAAACACTCACCCAAATGCGTCGACGAGTTTCACTCTTTTGCCGTCAGGTGTCCCGTCATGCGCGAAGCAATGGTGAATCGTCAGATCAAATCGATCTGTGAGGTACGCAGATATAAGATACAAGATATAAGATATATAAGATATAAGATATAAGATACAAGATATAAGATGTAACAGATTGATGACCCAGAGGAATATAAAGCAAACTTTGACACAGGGTTCCTGCATATAAAGCTCTACCCGTGTTGATCGTCACGCTGCGACGGGGCCTGGCACGGAGTGAAGGCTCACACAGGAAGAGCTAATATGCATATAGGTTTAATCGAAGAAATGCCATCCAGTATTTGCCTATGAATATTGTATTATACATTTTCTATAGTGAATGGTCAGTGGGACTGGCACATGATAAGATAGGCAAGTGAAATAAAGAGAGAGAAGAGAAAGAGAGAAAGAAAGAAAGACAGACAGAAAGAATAAAAGAATGAAACAGAGAAAGAGAGAGGCGTACACATGCGCACGGCGTGCGCGCGCGTGAGAGACAGAGACAGCCCACGTTTTCTAGCACCGTGAATGAAGCATAGAAATATATAGTGACACTAGTCTATCTATATTATTTCTATGGTATGAAGCCACGCTACCTTCATCGCTGATGTAGAATGCGAGCGTAGCCAGCTGGCCTATGTTGAGAGAGTTCGCTGGGGCCGCCTCGGGGTTTGTGCCTGCCACTAGCTTCATGCGGCATTCCGGTAGCCGCATGACGGTGCCCATAGGTAGCTCCGTCGTACTGAGCATACTAGATACAATAACGGTAGAATTTAAAACTACACTGCTGATGGATGTAGAGGTGGTGGTGATGGTGGTGGTGCTGTTACCGCTACTGCTGCTACTGCTGCTGCTACTGCTGCTACTGCTGCTACTGCTGCTGCTGCTGCTACTACTGCTACTGCTACTGCTGCTGCTGCTGCTACTACTGCTGCTGCTGCTGCTGCTGCTGCTACTGCTGCTGCTACTGCTGCTACTGCTGCTACTGCTGCTGCTACGACTGCTACTGCTACTGCTACTGTTACTGCTGCTACTACTACTGCTGCTGCTGCTGCTGCTACGACTGTTACTGCTACTACTACTGCTACTGTTACTGCTGCTACTGCTGCTACTACTACTGCTGCTGCTGCTGCTGCTACGACTGTTACTGCTACTACTACTACTACTACTACTAGTAGTAGTAGTAGTAGCGGTTGTCTATATTATTTGTTAGTATATATTTCTCACTTTAGCACCATTTTTATGTCGAATAACAATCGTATTATTTCGATTCAGACTTTACTATGTTCGCATAGGGCACGCTGCGGAAATCTGTGTTGTGACCTCGGGGCTCGTGGGCTATTTTATATATTATATATATATAATATTATAATTATACTTACGGAACCGTCACTCCGTATTGAACCGTCTTCGTGCCTGTTGTTCCCATGTCGCAGGAGACGGTGTAAGCTCGATCTCCCATCTCGAGGATGCCCCATGTTGCCTCGTTCATTACCACCAAGAGGTTCTTGTAGATTGTCTTTCCATTCTGAGAAAAAAATACGACCATGATATGCGGCCATCTTTTTCGTCGAGCACAATCATTCATGAGCCTCGATCGTTATTTTATACTCGGAATCGCAATATGGAATACTGTCAAAGCTTCTAAATTAAGGTAAGAGAACAATCCATTCCAGCCCACCCACACCCTACACCCACCCCCCACCCCCACCCCACAAGCCTCACCAACCAAGCCAACTTCTTACCTCTTACCCTAACGCATCAAACCACAGCCTCACGGTAACCTTAAACCCAGTAAATTAATTTAAATACCTTTCAGCGCTGTCCTCAAAACGAACGCGCGTTAGCCTAATAGCATCAAACCTTCACGAGTTAACGCCATGAATACCTCTCAAACGCTACCCTGTAAGATAGGACGGTAGCGATAGATGTCTTACCCTGTCCTGCACAGATTGGGTCCCGCAGCCGTCCAGTGGTAAGTAGGTCATCAGGGATCGCTCCCCGTTTCCGCTGACGCCGCAATTGTCAACCTTGAAGTAGCCCTTCGGATATATTCGGCCGTAAAACGAACTTCCGAATATGATGGTGACGATCATCGTGTTTGTCTCCGGAGCGCAGGAAATCTTAACATCTACGATATAGAACGAAACGTCAAGCGTGTGTGTGTGTGTGTGTGTGTGTGTGTGTGTGTGTGTGTGTGTGTGTGTGTG